TTGCGCCCGCACCACACTCAGCCAGTGAGCGGGAACCGGTCACCACATGGGATCCGAACCCCTGGCAGGAGCGCCGCCACACTCCCAAGCGGCGCACTCTCCAGTGCGCCACCGGGCCGGCCCATTAATTCCTGTCATTTATTTATTTAATTAATTAATTTATTTATTTATTTTCCTTTTTTGTCTTTTTTTGTGACCAGCAACGGATCGCAACCCTCAGTGTCGCGCCCGGACCGGACCAAGACCGGCAACGGGATCGCAACCCTCGGTGTTGCGCCCGCACCTCGCTCAGCCAGTGAGCGGCCGACGGTCTGTATGTGGGATCCGAACCCTCGGCGGGAGCACCGCCGCACTCCCAAACAGCGCACTGTAGCAGTGCACCACCGGGCCAGCCCAATTCCTGTCATTTAATTGCATCTTGTTTAGATGGTTTAAATATTGATCATTCTTTCCCTTTTTATTTCTTCTTCTTGTGGTCACCATTATTCCGATTCCAGATGAGTATTCCCTTGAGAATTTCTTGCAGGGCTGGTCATGTGGTAGTGAACTCCGACAACCTTTGTTTATCTGGGAAATACACCACTTCTCCTTTCTGAAGGAGAGCCTCACTGGGTAAAGAATTCTTGGCTGACAATTTTTTCTTTTAGTATCTTGAATATACCATTCCACCTTCTTCTGGCCTGTAGGGTTTCGGTTGAGAAGTCTGCTGTTAATTTGATGGGGATTCCCCTATAAGTGACCTGATGCTTTTTTCTTGCTGCTTTTAGAATTCTCTCTTTGTCTTTGAGCTTTGCAAATTTAACTATAATGTGTCTTGGGGAGGATCTTTTTGGATTGAATCTGTTTGGGAACCTTTGAGCTTCCTGGATCTGAAGATTTGTATCTCGCCCTACACCTGGGAAGTTTTCTGTTATTATTTCCTTGAATAGGTTTTCAATACCTTTTCCTTTCTCCTCCCCTTCAGGAATACCCATGATCCAGATGTCAGAGTGCCTGAAGTTATCTGCTATCTCTCTTAGATTTTCCCCATTATTTTAAATTCTTTTTTCCTTTTGTTTTTTTGTCTGCCTGAGTTATTTCAAAAATACCATCTTCAAGCTCTGAAATTCATTCTTCTGCTTGCTCTAGCCTGCTGCTCAAGCTCAGTTGTGTTTTTTATTTCATTGAATGAATCTTTCATTTCTAGAAGTTCTGCTACACTCTTTTTTAAGGTATGTATCTCTTTATAGATTTCCTCCTTCGTGTTCTAGATTTTTTGTTTCATTGTGTTCTCTAATTGAGTCTTCCTTTATTTCTTCAAGTTTTCTTAAGATCATTGCTCAGAATTCTTTTTCAGACATATCAAGGATTCCCTGTTCCATGGAGTCTGACTTTGGAACACTACTTTATTCTTACAGTGGTGTCACTTCTTCCTGTTTATTTGTAGGTTCTAGTATTTATTGGTTGATGTTTGGCCATTTGGGAGAGGGTTTGCTTCTACTATTACAATGAGGTTTGCTGTGGAGTGGCCCTGGATGCTACTGTGGTGGTGAATTGCCTTTGATTGACAGTAGGTGTGGTGTTGGTTATGTTAAACCACCTTGGGTCCTGTTCCAGAATCTGTGGTCATAGAATGAGACCCAACAGTGTGCAGTTCTGCTGGGCCCATGTGGCACTCCCCTCTGGGTCCAAGGAGGGGGAGGGACTGCCTCTGCCATGCAGTTCTGCTGGGCTCACCTCTGGCAGGCTGGGGTGCATGGGCTGGCACTCCCCTCTGGGTCCAATGAGTCCAGGGTTAGTTCTTAGTGGGGAGGATGAAAGAGTGAGGCAGCTACTTACAGCAAAATTCTTCCAAAACTAGCAAGGACACTGGGCTGTACAGCTAATTTTAAGTCAGCTTTCTTTAGGCTGGTCATCAGAGTGTGCCCACGAGTGCCAAATTCGAACCTAGCATTGTGGCAAGATTTTAATGCTATGTCCCAGGTGGTCTAGTGGGCTAGCCATCCAGGGCAGTAGATGTCACTAACTTAACAATGCCCTGCCATAGCCTGTTTATATTTACATTGCCCTTGCCATATTTACTCTGCCCTTTAAACATTAAACATTAAACTTTTCATCGAGTACTTTCCAAATACACTAAGTATTAGTGATGTATGAAGCACTAAGGGATCATTATCAGAATATCCAAACAATTTAAAGAAAAGCTAATGATAACTTAATTCTAAATGCACTAGGGGCTGGGGCAACACTATGGTATTGAAGAAATAACCATATTTGACTCTGAGTAAGCAGAACACTCTGAAACCCAATGTTGATAAGGAAAGAAAAAAAAAACCTTTAAACAGGCAATGAATTGGTATCAACACCTGAGTTCTACTCTAAGCTCAGACATGTACTTATTGGATTTCTTTGGGTAAATTACTTTGCCTCGTTTTCTTAGGGTCTCCAGCTATAACAATAGAAGTGATCTATTTATCTATTATTTACCTCAGAGGAGTGTTGTGAGAATGAATTGGATGACCTGAAAAATAGATGAGCTTCTTGAACAAAGTACAATTTTTAAGTTTTTATTGTGAAGTCAAACAGAACAATTCAATCAAAGGACACAGTTTTTGATTGATAACATTCTTAATTTTATTTTCTTTAATTTTATAAAATACATTTTGTAAGATAAGTTCCTAAAAGTTTATCTTTTATGTGTGTTAAAATTGAAATTCTATATCAGAAATGAAGGAAACACTTTCAGTTGATTAACTCTCTTTGTGTGTGTATATATGTGTGTATGTATGCAAGTGAGGTTCTCAGGGAAGGGCTGGTTATTTGTTATGTTATTAAATCAAAACAAAACACAAGGTATGCGTTACTTCCCTTTCCTTAATCTTGATTTATTTCTTATAGAAGTTTTTCCCTCCCGTCCCTCTATGCAGCCTGGAAGCTTATCTTGTATACTGGTCTGAAAACAAGTATCAAGTGTCTTTTTGTAAAGATCTTACATTTCCTTAAACATTGCTGAAACCACTTTGGGGGAAAGAACAACACAACTCTTTACAATAAAAAAGCTACAGTAAAAATCTTTCCTTCAGTAAAAAACAATCAGACAATTTTTTTTTAACCCAAAGTGAACAAGAAAAGGAAAAGACTGAAATCTGGGAGCTATGCTAGTTTCAAACTCTTTCTGCCTGTCCCTTTCTGTGGAAGCTTGCCAACTGTATAGCTGATGGCTGGTGTATTCTGTTTAGTGATGTACACCAGGAGAAAATACCCTTTATGTTAAACTTGACTCTTAACATGCCAACATAATATTGCTAAGTAAAACCATCTCCCACTAATTAGAAAGAACAATCAAACAGATTATGCAAATTGAGATTCAAATTCACCTATCTATTTCTGCAAAGGGCAGAATACTTACAGAAAATCTCAGCAGATTCATAGAACTAGCCAATTGTAAGTATCACTCGTGATGCTTAATGGTTAATTTTCCTTTTTTAAAGAATCATAATCAAAGAATCATTCTCCAGACCTTTCCGATACAACCCCAAATAAGTAAGAAACAAATTGGAAAATGCAAAATGTGTATCATTCTGAAACAAATCAAGATTTTAAAATCACTGACTATGACTGAATGGATAATACTCCATGAAAAGAGCACCATTGTGAAGATATGACAGAGGCTAGAGCACACAACTAATTAACAGAAAAAAGACATGCTATCCAAAGAGTTATCTATTCTGTGTCTAGCAGAGGGCCATTTCAGGTTACACTATTAGCCACCAGCAACTGCTGCTCCTTAGGCCAGTCTTTTTTCATGTAAGCTAGTTTCCTTTTATTCTCAGCTCCTTGAAAACCACAGGTTTGTCATGGTAGCTGTTATCAAGGAGAAGGGAGTGAGATGTTGACAACACCCTGTTTCTTTTCCCTAATGAGGTGTAAAGCCAGATGCCCCCTCTGTCTACACAGACACTATGCTCCCTTATGCTATAAGTAAGGTTGGCTGAGTTAGAGCTTAGTCCATTGCCATCGGGGTCAGCGCTCTCTTTCCATAGGTGAAAGATCCTTGCTTTGACCCCCTTCTCCCAGCTGCAATAGGCAGATTTGGGCAAATGCTCTTAATGCTTTGCTGGTATTCTTTGTTTCTTCTGTCTTCAGTGGTAATAAGGAGACAAGAGTGACTTCTCTGTTTTGTACACCAAGGAGAATTTTGGCCCCTATAGATGGCAAAGGGACCGAGGACATTCCTTCTCTCTACCTGAGCATCTTTCTTTCCACTTTGTTTCCATCAGTGGAAGTGCCCTTTGAGAAGAAGGCCTTTCCTGTTCCTCAGAAGAGCTTGAAAATTGAAGTAGAGCCTCTGTTCCTTTGTGACTTGCAGTTGGGGAGTCACCTTCTTAGGCATTTCCCATTTCTAGCAGGAACCAGCTGTGAAGCAAAATGACTAAAAGAGGTACATAAGAGGGGACGATCCACAGGGAGACATTAATCACTGTAAGACTCTCCTTTCTTGTTACACTTGTCAAGAATGAAGAGGGCCAGTCAGTGGCAAAGGCAAAGAGTTAAGATGGGAGACGCAGCATTGCAGGCTGTGTGGTTAGAGCCTCACTATTAGAGAAAGGGGGATTTCTATGAGACATCAGAACTTGGTGCCTCGGCCCATGAGTTTAAGGACAGCAAAGTTGTAAGTGGCAGCAATCATGAAGGTGAGCTGTTGGGAACAAAAGAGAGAAAGAATATGAGCAACAGTAGAAAAGGAAGCTCTCCCTCCTCAAATCCTTTCAGGAATGAGGAAAAATAAAAATAAAATCATAACTAAATAGAGGAAAACTCCTTGCTCTGCAAGAAGCAGCATATCCCAGGCTTTCTCCCTATACACTTGACTAGAAGTCCTCTCTTCCAATGGCCCAGACCCAGATAATCAAATCAATAAAGATTTATCCCACACCTATACGCAGCGTACCACTGAGTTTTCCTCAGGGAAGTGAACAATTCTTGGGCTCTGCCACATCCACAAGTCTGAGTGACATGGAGTCATAGGATGCCTGCTGTAGACACACAGCCACACCAAGCAGCATGTATCAATTTGTCTTGCAAGGTGAGGAATTACTCAGCTTTGAATAAAAACCTCAGCAGTAGGCACCAGGAGTTCTGTGAGCTCATCCTTTTCTGTTCACCACTTATTCGATGACTTCAGATAAATCACTCCATTCTTCAGTTCCTTAGGTTCTTAATCTGTACAATGAGTACACTACACTGACACTGCACTATAACACTGCCAGCAGGACATGGGAACTAGAACTGCATTATAGCTATAACAATGTTAATCATGTTAGGAGGCCTTCCAGTATTTCCATGAGAGTAATTAAATCCATTGGAGAGTGTACAAGATGGATACATATCTATAGTATATAGAATTCCAAGTTATAGCAAATTATGTTTAATGATGTTTCAGCATTCTTCTCACTGATCTGACCAGGATGTGTTCAGAATTAACTGTAATTTATGACCGCAAAACACTTAGCAATATTACATGTTCTGTAAATGCTAAATATTATCAGTCATGACTATGAATCTCTTAATTCCTCTTTCATCAGACCACTTTTCTTGTTCCTGTCTAATTTCTGAAATTCTTCTGCCTTGCCAACCCAAAGTAGAAGTATACAGCCTCTACATGTTACTGTTTTTTCCCAGTAGCTTCTCTCCAGCGTTTCAAGGTTGGAAGGCGTCTGTCTTCTTGCCTTTTAGCATAGCTGTACCGAAAGTGTCCCAGGACCATTTATTGGCTAAGAAAATTCAAAAAGAACTCACCAGGGAAACCAGTGTGGCTGCAGCCCCCACAAACGCAGCAATAAACAGGTGGAAGGTCATTTGGAACTGCAAGAAAATGCGAGAGAGAGAACTGTTTCTTGCAACAGCAAAAATATACTCCCCTGTAAATTGTGAAGGCAGCTTTCTGAATGTGTTGATATCTTTCTTGTGTGTTAATCCTGCATCTCTAACTAAATTTCCACTTCCCTAAGGGTAGGTCTCCCATTAGCACCTAGCTCCATAACACCCAGAACACAGAATACTCATAAAATAGTGTAGTGCTCTCAAATAATCAACTGGCTCCCTACAGTTGTGCCCAGGGTCCCAAAATTTAATGTCAACACTTTGCTTTGAAAGAAATAGTTTGCTTCCTTCCTCCCCAGGATATACTTTTATCCCCCTTCCTCACTTGTGTAAAAAGTGATTCTCAATACAGAGTTTTCTTTTCAAAATGTACTTAATTTGCCTCTCATTAGCGATTAAGAAGTTTCAAATTGAAAGTGTTCTATAAAATCTATGAATGTCTCTGTGCATGGTCCATTCTCTTGATAAGGTTTTTAACTAAAAGAATAAAAACTTCCATTTGGGGAATTTGGCCATTATGCTCTATCTTTACTTAGGTTAGCTACAAATTTCTCTTGTAAAGAAGGAAGTTTTCGAATGGAAATCTTTCTACACAGCTCTAGGGAAAATGGGGGTTTTACCATCTATGCTCATTGATCAGGCATACTCAGCCAATATTTTATAGAAGGCAATCTGCTAATTCAAAATCCAGCAAAGAGAAACATTAATCCTTAAAATTGAAGGCTATGGGTAGAAATTTGTATGGTATGAACCATTTCATTGTAAAATAACCCAAATAGCCCACTCACCTCAGCTGTTTTGCAGATGGACAGAAGGTTGGAGCCACAAACTTTGCCAGGGAAAGCATTCCATGGGAGAACACCTAAATAAGACACAAATCAATCAGTGTAAGCTTTGTGGAGTTATGGGGCCCCATGGAGACTTTTCCCCAGAGCCCTTTTTCCATCTCTAATCATTCTGGCTGTAAACTTGGATTCTACCAACAATCAGGATCCTCTTTTCTGAAAATTTACAAAAAAAGAAAAGTTGGTATTGAACAGTTGTGAAGGCTTGTATTTGTTATTGAAATGTGCTGTTTTGGGGTTGTGAACAGCAGTCAGCTAGAGTAGAGCAGTGTGAACAACCAAGAAAACTCCCACTGCTTCCAAGTCCCCTTGCCAGGGAATATATATCTTTGTGTTTTCAGTGGGGAGAGGTTAACAAACTAAGACACAGGCATTCATAATCGTATAATTTCCTTACAATTACCACCCTCCTTACCCTAAGAAAAGAAACAACTATCTAGTGCTTCCATAGTGGGTAGCAGAGACAAGGCACCCATGCACTAACTCACCGTACATTCTGGCATCAGCACAGAGACTGCCTATACTGGCAGAGGTCTTGCTGGGGAAGGCAATAGACTGGCAGGTGGTCCAGGTGTTGAAGTAAATGTACACAGGCACAGCAGAGCAGGCAAACACCAGGAGCCACACAACGGTCAGGGCATAGGTGATGCCCACAAACTAAAATGATTGACATGGGATGGTTAGAAACCAGCAGCAGCCTGCAGATGTTGTAACACAAACTGGGAGATCCTGGGAGCGGCATGTGCCAGACAATGAAAACAGATTCCAAGGATCTCCCCCAAATGAAATTAGTGAGCAGGGCACCTCTGCCAAGTGTCATTGGCAGTATTTACTAGAGAACTGGCCCCAAGTGTGACGGAGGGTGGGGGGAATGGGTGGGGGTTGGAGTGAGAAGGATCCCTGGGTTAGAGAGGCTTCAGGGGACTTGGGGGGGGAAGATAAGGTGTAAAGAGGTCAAAACAGATCTTGAAAGAAAGTCGTGCCATTTCATGCCTTAGGCTGAGCTTAGAAAATGTTCCTTGTCACAGGATTTTTGTTCCCTAGTCATTGAACAGAGTCAATAGGAGACAAATTTCAGATACAAAAACCTTTCTAAGCTAACTGTTGGCCACAAAGAGACATCACCATAACCCATACATGTTCAGCCCCTAAAGGATCTTTAACTCTAGAGACTGAAAACCAACATGTGCCTTACTAGAAGCACGAATAACCTTCAGACAAAGATAAAACATTAGATGTGAAGATCTACTCTAATTTTTTCTGGGACCTCCAACAGTGTGGGGTCCCAGAATATTGTGGATTCCACCTTGGAGTCAAGTATTTAATTTCTATGATCCACCCACCCTCTCAGATCAGGTGCCTACACCTCCACCCCCTGAGCATCATTTTAGACTCTTGTACAGTCATATTTACTTTTGTGGTCCCTGCTAGGAAGGTAGTAAAATGACACCAACAGATGGCTTAGAAATGGTCTGATTGTACAAAACATCCCATAAAACTCATGCTTTTCCTTTTGAAATGAAATTTTCTAGGGAACCTTTGAAAGGTGAGTCTAAGCTGGCTGGGCACCACGTTCTTCCCGACCTCATTCGGCTGTAGCCATCACTTCCTCACTCAAAAACCAGGCCCCTAGAGAGGACCCAGCCTTGGGTGGGAATGAGGCCACAGTCTCATGCCCAATTGTCCCCCACCCCTTGTTATTGTCACAAAATCCTGAGGATGATCACCTTGTCGGGATGTCCTAGCCATTTTCCCAAACAATGACACACCCGCTCCAAAGAATGAGCTTGATGTTGGCCTCTGGAACCCCTCCCCTTCTGGCCCCCTGTTACCGTTGCGCTCAGGCCCTTGCCGCAGATGGTGGTCTTGTAGTCGCCAAAGATCTGCCTGACTGCACCGGTGGTGTAGAAGCCCTCAGCCAGCAGGAGGGCCCCATAAAGGAAGAAGAAAGAGGCAGTTCCATAGATGACATACTGAAAGGCATGGATCCTGTGTCAACAGATAGACAAAAGAGACCAGAGTCTAATTAATTGAGGACCCAGATCCTTTCTCACATAAGTGAGGTACACACCTGAGTTGGCATCTTAACAAGGCTAGAGGTTTCTTTCTGGTGGCTGGCCAGTATGGGGATCTGAACTCTTGACCTTGGTTTTATAACATTGCACTCTAACCAATTGAGCCAACCGGCCAGTCTGGGATACTTCAGGGGAATCACTAGGGTCCTCTTCCGTACTTTCACCCTATCTTTATTGAAGTAAAAGAAAACAGGGAGCGTGTGGCCAAGAGCACATGCTCCTCCCCCCACACCTTGCTCTCCCTGCGACCTGGAGAACCAGGGCCCTACTCGCCTTGTCTGACCCTTCAGAGATGCTGCCTTGCAGGAGAGAGGAGCTAGACAAGAAGGAAGAGGGATGAAGTAACAGGAGCCTAACCTGTTCTAGGAACAGGAGAGTCTGAGAGGATGCAAGCCGTGTGTCAGACCAACAGCAGTGACTCCACTCCGTCTAGTCATTGTGCCTCCCCTGGATTCTCCATACCTACCACTGTGGAGGCTGTAACTCAGGCAATACTAATCAGACATAGCAGAAGTTAAGACATATGTGAGAAAACAAGGAGGGGTGAGATGGGGGCTGGCAGGCTGGCAGAATTCCCCGTTCTGAATCTGGCACTTTCCCTTCATTTAGAGCTTCAGATATGGTTTAGGTGGAATCTGTACACAGAGAGAAGATTCAGGAATCCTGTCTGGCTCCACCCCAATCCCCTACTAGTCACTAAGGTACTGATGAGTTCTGTATCTCCAGGATAGATAAAGGGAAAAAAAGATGTGTCTGTGTAGGAAGACAGATACTTACACATTGATGAGATACTCATAGTCCTGGTAGTTTTTGGAGAAATAGGTCTCAATTAGCTTTTCTGTGCCAGTGAGTGCTTCATGTCCACAGCCACAGAACAGTGCCACCCCAAAGAAACACAATCCAGTGGCCACCAGGGAAGCAAAGGGGGCCCCTACCAGACATCTTGCACAGCACTCTAACAAGCCTGTGGGAGAAGGAGGGAAGACAGTCAGGCATGTACAACAGGAAGCTCACACCACTCACACCACTCTGCCAGACCAGGCAGCACCTGTGCTCACAAGCACGGAGAGAGTGGGCACCTCAGAATCCAGAGCAGGGGGGTTTAGGGGTTGCAGCTTTTGGCATGTGACATTGACCCAGAATTCTTATTTTGTTTCATTCTTGAAAATAAATCGTTACCTTTAATTCCCAGAATTTATGGTGCTTTTTAGAAAATAATTCACTAACTCAAGTAACAAGCCAAAGAGATAATGGAATCAATCTCTCCTTTCTTATTGCTCTGGTCTGTTTGTTGCTTGTTAATCATTCATCAACTATTTATGAAATACTATGTGTCTGGCATTGTGTTGGGTGTTATATGGGATATGAAGAAAGAAAAGACATAGGCTCTGCCATATGGGAGTCTTTAGTTTCTTGAAGAAGAATTAGCTAGGTGGACCTAATATTTTCAACTAACAATTCCAGGCAACCAAGTAAGTGGTTACAGAGGGTAAATGCACTTGGAGTTCCAGGAAGGGATGAGTGCTGGCCAAAGATGTTGGTACTGTCAGACAGGACTTGAGCCTGAAGAGTATTCCAGGTGGAGAAAACATTGGAAATTTCAGGCTCCTGGATATTCCTGAACACTGTGTATATTTGTTGCAAGGAATGCTTAATTCTTCTTAGTCGAGATATGTAGGGAGCAGTCCAAAGAGAAGGAAGAAACTGGCATAGGACAGGAAGTGATAATAGGAGGATTACGATTACTCGCAATAATCAAAATGCAGGCTTAATGATTTTGGATACTTTGCATAGCTGTCTTGTCCCCCTATACTGCAACTTAGCCAAAGTTCCCACCCTCAGTCATACATTGAGGTTCTGTCAATACAGCTACAAAAAGACTTTATGCAAAGTCGGCAAAGCATGAAATTTCTTTCTGGCACAAGGAAAACACACAAGGGCCTGGGAATACAGGTGTTTAAAAGTGCTAAGAGTCCCTGAGATCCCCAAACCTGGTATCCCATGCTCCAAACCAGTGGTGCTGAGAAACAGGAAAGTAACATGAGAAATCACAGGCTCTGAAAAAGCAACTGTGTCTCTAGCACTAGTCCCATGCCCTAAGGTGTCACATGGAGTCAAACTTAGCAAATGCCAACTAGGGGACTGACTTGATGGAAGAAAGGATGGCTTCCTCTGGCCTCTTGGCCAGATCCCCGAAAGATGGAAGAAATGAAAATGTTAAGCCCTTCAGACAAAAATTCTTTATATATACACATAAATAATCAGCAAAAGTGCTGGGAAGTTGCTATTTTTAAATAAGCATGCTGTGGCTCTTTGTAAAATGAAAATAAATTGTACTAAGTTTTTAGTTTTGGATTTTTATATTCAAGCATTTCTCCAGGCCAAGCTCACTTGTCTATATCAGGGTACCAGGGGAAAGGAGAGTCCTATGTCTGACCCTCTTAATACTAGTATGGTTTCTTTTTAGCCCTGAGTGCCTGAACATCCATTGATTTGCATGGTCGAACTGCATCAATGTGAACAGATTTCGAAGGACCAAATTATCTCTATCATGCGAAAGTTGAGGTAGAGGCATTTGTCTCTGTTCTCAGAGCCATAGATTGAGTGAGTCCTACTACGCACCATCCCCTGAAATAAGAGCCTTTTCCTGGACTTCAAAGAGCCTCTTCTTCAAAGATCCTTGAATGTCACACCAGAGATGAGGTTCAGAAGCCCAACCCAAACAAAGTAAGTAGGTAACATTTGCGGCAGAACTGAACTCCTTTCCTTTTCCAAGACCCGAAGCACTACTGCCACAAAACTTGGCCTCTATGAGAAGCGATCAATTTGTAGCTGTGCTGCTATAAGTGGAGGCCAATTTTACTCAGAATGAACTTTGCAAGAATGCCTGGTAAGAGTGCTTTGGCAGAGCTGGCCCATTGTGTGTATGGGGTGGGGGGGGTGCACACGTGCACACATGTATGCAACTGTGAACATACACATGTATACTAGAGAGAAACACTAGAGCTGAAATGGATCAATGCTCTCAGGAAACATTCCAGAAATTGATCTTCCTTTCTCAACAAGTTAAGATACTAAATGCATCCTGTACGTCAAGAAATGGAGCTTGGAAGTAAACAGTACCACCATTTTCTTTCTCTGCTTATTCAACTTCTCCCCACCCCCAAACTCTTAGAATCTTCTAGTAAAGAAGGTCTCTGAAGCCTGGGAGTGGGGGAGGGGAAGGTCAGCGACCCCACTGTTCCCTCTCTCCCCAGCACAGGATCGGAGCTTGGACAGAGCCCTCCATAGCTCCCCTGGACAAAGAAGCCTTGTTTTTCTCTGAGATCTCAGGAGCCTCATTGGTATTCTGCAGGGGCTTGTAGGCCCGGGGGTGGAGAGGGGGTCATACCCAGGGAACAATGGCAGGACTGTCTGTTTAGCCTGGGGTAAGGAGAGCCATCCACCCTAGCAAGTGGCCGTACTAGGCCCACTCATTCATCCCAGCTTTTTCACTGTGGGAAGAGCTAAATGGTGGTACAGGTGTGATGGAGGATGGAGGAACTTAAATTCTTGCTAGTCAAACACAGAATTACACTCTAAGCTTTAGCTGATGCCCCCTCTAGGGCTGGAAAGATGAGGGGAAAAATCTTCTTTAGTGTATCTGATCCCTCGATCATCATCCAAATAACCAGAGAGTGTCATATGTAGTGTTCCTAATGAGTGAAAAGGGGATAAGCCTTGGGAACAACTCTAAATCGCCAAATGATAATCTTTTATTTTACATCCCTTTTTCATCTATTTTCTTACAGCTCAGATAACTTAGCACCCCTTTTTCCACTCCACTGCTGCTCAAAGCAAGGGACAAGAATGACATAGGCTTTAATGCGTCTCTAACGTGGAGTCAGAATTAAATGTCCTTAAATAAATCTATCACTATTGAGCTATAAACAGTTCAACAATATCAGAATAAACAAACATCAGATATCCATCTCTTCACAACTGAGATAAAACATTTCTTCTGAGGGCATTTGAGTTCAGCAGACATGAAGAATTTCAGTCTGTCCAAGCAAAATATCAAACTTTGGATTCCAACTGGGAAAAACTCAGAAGACGCAAGAAATAGTCTTTTTATCAAAGTAATTGATAGTCAAAGCATTCCTAGAAAGGTCCATCCATTGGGTTGACTTTGATTTTTCAAAGCCCAAGAAATGTCGTAGGGTATGGGTGAACAATAGCCTAAAGCCACAAGCTGTCCATTTTAGAATTCCTCGTGGTTAAAAGGGTGTGGGTTTGGTTCAGGAAGGCTGTGAGGGATTCTGGAAGAGAAGTTCCTGCACTCTCTGCTAAAACATTCTCACATTTCCAGGCTAAGTACCAACTGCAACATAGTACAGTTGGCATAAAATAACTACATAGTAATGATATTACCCAATGCAACTCTCTTGTATGAAAGCGCCTGACTTTGATGAGAGGTCATAGGAAAAGATAATGAACCCTCTCCAGTGTTTTCCTTTTATTTCTGTTCATGTGGATTCAGTACAAGCATAAGCACATTAGCAATGACCTAGACACTATGAGAAACAGAAGGAAATTATAAGGCCCAGTCCCGTTCTTCAGAGAACTTGCAATCTTCTTGGGGAGAACAAACTTAGGTCTGTGAATCAAAAACCACAACTACTTATAATCAAGTATTAAAATGGTTATAACCAAGTTTATAAACGTTAAGTTTTATAAATGTAAACAAAGAGAAAAGAGCAGTTTGGGGTTGGCTACAATTATTTGCAAACTCCCCAAACAAATCTAATCAATCTGTGATAGAACTTCAAGTCCTTCTCACCAAATGTTCTTCGCAGCAGTCTGACAGAGATCAAGAGGACTACTGGTGACTCTCATACAAATCCAGGCCTATCCAAGGGTCGGTGATGATTCTGATGCTGTCTCTTTAAGCAGAAGCCAAGAGCTCCCAAGCCCTCCCTCCTTTCACATGCCCTGGGCACGCCTCAAGGACCAACTACATGATGGAAATTCAGCGTGAATCTGGGAACTCATCAAAGGGAAGAGAGGAAGGGCTTTCATTGAAGGGAGTGGTAGAAAGAGACCAATTGTACCCTGCACAATTTCCAGCCTGTCCCTTGAATCCAGCTGACAAAGGGAGAGAGAGAAGAACCCTATACAATGGAGCTAAACAACAGGCAGGCTCATTGAGTGAGGAACTGGCCCCATCTCCCTAAGTCTCTAATCTGCACTACAGTCTTACCCTCCTCCCAGAACCCACCCCTTAACCTCACCCCATGAACAGAGGCCTCCTTGATCAGGGTTGATAGCGTTTGACAGGGCCAAGATGCTAGAGCAGCCGTGACTGGTACTAGGGATGGATGGGGGATCAGTGGGTGGGTTCTAGGAGTAAAACAACAATCACCAGGAGGTGCTGGAGACAAAGACTTTTGCTTCTGGCCTTACCCTGGTCAGACAAAGCCCTGCCTATAATCTTGTCTTTCCTACATGATATCAGCACTTATACCACATTCAAGTGCTGGAAAGGGGCCTTGTAGCATGTGGGGCCTGGGAATCCAAGCCTGCTGGATAGTTAAGTCATGTGGACAAGGTTAAATAAAAAGGAATCTTAGGGGCCGGCCCAGTGGCACACTGCTACAGTGCGCCGCTTGGGAAGCGTGGCAGCGCTCCCGCCGAGGGTTCGGATCCCACATACAGACCGGCCGCTCACTGGCTGAGCAAGGTGCGGGGGCAACACCGAGGGTTGCGATCCTGTTGCCGGTCCCGGTCCGGTACGGGCGCGACACTGAGGGTTGCGATCCGTTGCCGGTCACGCACAAAGACAAAAAAGGAAAAAAAAAAAAAAAAAAAAAAG